TCCTTGACCGCTGCATTCAATTTGTCCAGTTGCTAACATTCACGGATAATAAAAAATAACATAATAATAATAATAATAATAATTTTATAATATAACATTTACGGATATGATAAAAATGGGAGTGAGAGACGTCTATAACTGAAATCGGCAATTACTTAGTTGCCAACCCAATATATCAACGAAGTTTTATTTTAAAAAATGAATATCTCTTCTCTAGATTTGATAGAAAAATTTTCAGTACAAAATTTTTCTTTGTCTGAGAGAAAAACAGTCTGGACTTGCCAGTGTGTGAACTGGAAATAAATAGTTTTGGTCCCCTAAGGGTTAAAACTTGCGAACTGAAATTGGGTCAAGTTCGTTGTCTCTAATATTTTCCTATTATTTTCGAAGATTTTCCCGACGAAGTCGTCCACGATATTGCGAACGAAAAACAATATTATATTATAATATAATATTGTTATTATAATATATTATTATTATAGTTATATTATAATATAATATTGTTTTTCCCTTTTTTTTAAATATTATAATATAACTATAATATATTATATTATATAATATAGAATTGGCACGAGAAAATATTCCCGACGAAGTCGTCCACGATATTGCGAACGAAAAACAATATTATATTATAATATAATATTGTTATTATAATATATTATATTATAGCTATATTATAATATAATATTGTTATTATAATATATTATTATTATAGTTATATTATAATATAATATTGTTTTTCCCTTTTTTTTAAATATTATAATATAACTATAATATATTATATTATATAATATAGAATTGGCACGAGAAAATATTCCCGACGAAATCGTCCACGATATTGCGAACGAAAAAAACAATATTATATTATAATATAACTACAATATATAATATTATAGTTATAATATATTATAATATTGTTATTATAATATATTATATTATAGTTATATTACAATATAATATTGTTATTATAATATATTATATTATATAATTATATTATAATATAATATTATTATAATATATTATATTATAGTTATATCATAATATAATATTGTTTTTCCCTTTGTTTTTTTTAATATTATAATATAACTATAATATATATTATATTATATAATATAATATAGAATTGGCGCGAGAAAATATTCCCGACGAAATCGTCTACGATATTGCGAACGAAAAACAATATTATATTATAATATAATATTGTTTTTAATATAACTATAATATATAATATATTACAATATAACGAGGTTATAATATTACCTCAAGCATTTCGAATTTCTTCATCGAGCCGGCGATGCTTTCCGATTCCGATAGAGGCGTCGTCGTCGGCCGAGCGAGAGATCGAGAGGGAAATCGGTTAGAGAAAATTGTACCGTGCTCGTTAAGTGTCTCTGGAACGCTAGGCGACGACAACAAATGTCAAAATACACGTCGAGGCCGCCGCGATGGAAGAAAAAAAACAACCAACCGCACGGCGAAGAGAAAGCTACTACTACTGTTCAGCGCGGAAAGTTCGAGACTATAACAAACATTTTGTTGCTAAAACAACCGTTCGGCAGGCTTCCTCTCGCAGCGTTAATATCTGGGACACGACGTAACGTTCGAAAGAACTGTAATCGAGAAACTATGGTTTATTTACGTGCGCACGACCTTTCGGGCGTTATCCGCGTCATCCGTAATTACGACCAGAGGTATTCGTGCCATAAAAAAAGCTCATTAATCATCTTACACGATCGCGTAAATTGAAATCTTGTGCAATTTGCGTCGGATTAGTTACGAATTCCAGGGCCTCGAAAAACGACTCTCCGCTATTCAGGATTACGATACGTTAAGTATCAAACGGACTTGTTAATAAATCGCATAATTCGCATGATCGAATAACGTTTCTTTCGTTAAGTGGAAAGAATAAAATACTTCAACTGAATAGCCTACATTATTAAACGGCCTAAATTATTAGACTGCTGATTTTTAAAGAACAGTGGAAAGAATAAAATACTTCAAGTGAATAGCCACGAGCGGTCTAAATTATTAGACTGCCAATTTTACGTTAATAAATCGCATAATTCGCATAATCGAATAACTTTCGTTAAAAAACAATGGAAAGAATAAAATACGTCAACTGAATAGCCTCGAACGGTCTAAATTATTAGACTGCTGATTTTACGTAGTTAACGACAGAAATAGTTAATGCAAAACCGCGATTGCGTTGGAAGAATTATGAAAATAATTATAATAATCAATTTTATCCAACCCTTCTGCTTCCTACGATTATTGCAGAAGTTTAAGTGGTGGTCTCAGAAAGTGCAAAGGGTCAAGTATAAAAATGATGCGTTCGTTCTTCCGAGCGGAGATGAAACTTCTTTCGCAGTGAATGCTTTTAAATATAGGTTATGTAAGTACCAATGTCCTTTCTCCTCTAAGAAATGATCCGCGAGGAAAATCGACAGCGAGGAAAACGGTACGCCAGAAAATTAATTATCGAATCGAATCGATGAACGTATGCTATGATCGTTGTTCCGCTGGTCCTTCGCCGTGATCACGCGAATTTCGTTTCGGCGACTGTACTTTCCTTTTTCAACTAGTCGTTGAACTTTGTCCAGACTACGCGCCGTTCACACGCATCGTTCGTAACTCGAAGACTAATTGAATTTTAATGAGCAACGCTTTCGTCTCGAACCGTCGACGGCTGGAAGATGATTCATTCATGAATAATCGCTAACGCGACGGTACAGAATCCGCGATACAATATACACTGGCTCTCGAACTTCGCGCCGTCACCTCTCATTGCACAGTGTTTTTCGTTAATAACAAGTAAACAAAGCCGCGGATTGCATTTTCACAAAGGAAAAAGTTACTTAGAATGACTATCAGCTACCTCACATTTCCGTATTGCGAGACATTTTTGGGACACCCTGTATACAGGGTGAAAGTAGGGGATTCCTGAGGTCATTCGAAGCAACTTTTTCCTTAGCGAAAATGCAATCCGCGGCTTCGTTTACGAGTTATTAACGAAAAACAGTGACCAATCAGAGGCGAGATCATTTGGCGCGAGACGGCCGAGCCAATGAGCGGAACCGGGCTCCGCGCACTCGTTGGCTGGGACGCCGCGCGCCAGCCGAGCTCGCCTCTTATTGGTCAGTGTTTTTCGAACTCCTAAACGAAGCCTCGGAGAAAATTTTCGCAAAGGAAAAAGTTGCTTTAAATGATCTCAGGAACCTCCCATTTCCATATTACGAGACATTTTCGGGACACCCTGTATACTGGCAACTGCTGCAAAAACCCGGGGAATGCGGCCCGGCGTGCAATCGCACGCACGCGTTACGCGCTGCTACGGGTTTTTAAAGATTTATCGAATCTTCTTCTCACGCTGCGAATCATCTCGTCCGATCGAGGGAAAGTTTCGTAACTGACGTCGCGCGATCGTTGATTTTGTTCGCACATCGGTCGTTCCGCGCTTTCATAAAGTCCCAGACAATCGTCTCGATCGTAAAATAATTCTGGTCGAATTTATTCATTACTTGCTAGCACCTTCCTAAAACGATACAGAACGTTCTTCGTTCGAAACGAGGAAATCGTTAACCGCACCGCAGCTGCGAGGCAAACGTTGTTCCTTGAGATAAGACTTTCATCGCGAATACCGAGCCGGCTAATAAATGTTCAGTACGATGTTCATGACTACGATTATCCGTTTCTATTAAACATGTGGATAACACAATTCAGTGAATGCTATTTAAAATAGTAGAAGGGTTGAAAGAGTTTGATAACATTAATACACGGAGTTAAGAACTCAAGATAAAAATTTGTACTCTGTCAACGAAAATATTAACTTCTTTAGAATTCGTTAATTTTTTATCTCCACTTTACTTTCTAACGTTTTAAATCCTTTTTCAATTTGATTATCTTTTTATATCTGTAATATGCACTTGATACAACAATTCTGCAATATAAACAATGTGTTATATGCTTTACTATAGCATGCAGCAAGATATATTTGTTAAAATATCTTATATTTTTATTTGTTATCGATATCTNCATAAAGTCCCAGACAATCGTCTCGATCGTAAAATAATTCTGGTCGAATTTATTCATTACTTGCTAGCACCTTCCTAAAACGATACAGAACGTTCTTCGTTCGAAACGAGGAAATCGTTAACCGCACCGCAGCTGCGAGGCAAACGTTGTTCCTTGAGATAAGACTTTCATCGCGAATACCGAGCCGGCTAATAAATGTTCAGTACGATGTTCATGACTACGATTATCCGTTTCTATTAAACATGTGGATAACACAATTCAGTGAATGCTATTTAAAATAGTAGAAGGGTTGAAAGAGTTTGATAACATTAATACACGGAGTTAAGAACTCAAGATAAAAATTTGTACTCTGTCAACGAAAATATTAACTTCTTTAGAATTCGTTAATTTTTTATCTCCACTTTACTTTCTAACGTTTTAAATCCTTTTTCAATTTGATTATCTTTTTATATCTGTAATATGCACTTGATACAACAATTCTGCAATATAAACAATGTGTTATATGCTTTACTATAGCATGCAGCAAGATATATTTGTTAAAATATCTTATATTATTATTTGTTAACGATATCTAATTATTATATCTTATATAGTAATATAAATATATATTATATATATATAATATATAATAATATATTATATATAATTGATATATAATATATATAATATAATTGTATATATATATAATTATTATATCTTATATTTGTTAACGATATCTAATGTTTCTTAACTTTCGCCGGTAAGCGTATTGTTTTCTAAAAATTATCAAAGTAGAAAAAACACTTCCATTCAGCTTCCACTTTTTGCAATTGACACAGACAATTTCGCACAAAAACTCGCAGTCTAACAATTATGCATTGAAAAAAAAAAAACAAAGAAAATAATCGACTAAGACTGAAATTAGAATTAAGACCAGTATAACAATATTTTCCATCGGCATGGATTCGCTAAAACCTCTCTATTTCCAGGGGGAAGACCGGAAGCGAGGAGAAACGAAGATCGAGGGCCCGCGTTTCCCGTTCTACGAGGACGACGACGAGGGTTCGAGCGAGCGGATCGGAAGATGGCGGAAGAACGGCGAGGCCTTGGAACCGAAATGGAGGGACGGCGACACGGTGCCTCTGCTACCGTTTTCTCAGTTAACGCGGTACTCGACCGGCGATCTGGGCTACACCGGGGAAGACGAGGACGACGCGCATCAGCGGCGGTCGAAGTACAAAGAAACCCAGGAGACTCCGTTCCTACGGAACGCCGAGCGAGCTCCGTACGCTGACCACGAAGACTACGAGGAGAAAGGCGAGACCAGAAAAGAGGAGACGCCGCCGCGACGGAGAAACAGTCGACCGGCGCACGGCTTCAAGCCGCAGGCGACTTCGAGCAAGCAGATGAACCCCGATGACACAGCGGAGTATCGAGAAGCGGCGTCGACGAAGTACCGCGAGGCCTTCCAGGTGCGTCCGAACGACTACGAGCACGAACTGGACGACGAGGAGTACCTGAAGCCACGGCCGAGGAAGAGGCGGCCGCCGCAGAACTACGAGTTCGCGTTGACGGAGAACGAGACGTCGCGGCCGGAAGCTGGAAGCGGTCCGTGGTCTCGGCCGGGTGGTGTCCGCACGGTTTCCGCGGACTCGGAGTCCAGGAATCAGTTCGTGAAGAACGCGATGGAGCTGAAGTCTCTACTGAAGATGCAGCAGGAGGAGGGCCTGAGCCTGTCGGAGCTGCTGCAGAGGAGGAACCTGACGCTGAACGACCTGCTGAAGGGCAGAGCCGACGCGATCAACGCGCTGAGATCGAAGGACGCCGAGGACTACGTCGACGAGAAGCCGACGATCGCGCCGTTCGCGAAATTGACCACGAAGAGGCCGAAGAACTCGCTCGTGGAGGGAGGAACGGTCTCGACGGTTCCGGCGGCGGTCGATCGCCATGAAAATGCGACGGGTATGATGCCGCGTTTAGGGCAATCAACGACCGGAAAATCGCTGAACACGGAACCTCCTCGTATCAGGGGAACGCCCGCGGCCGGCGTTCTCGCTATGGTTACGACGTCGATGCCATTCCCCGTCGCCACCAACTCCATGGAACTGCTGCGGTCCGAGGAGACCACCGCGAAGCTGCGGGGCAACGGCGAGATCAGGATCGACGGCCTCGACGAGGACGAGATCATGGAGTTCTCGGACTTCCCCGACTACAAGAACGGCCGGAACGCGATGTCCCCGGTGTGGTTGACCGTGAAAGACGGGAACGGCGAGGCTCCGGGGACGCTGCGGGAGGGCTACGAGGACAAGGGCTCGACCTTGAGCATCGAGCAGCTTCTGAATCCGACGGAACGCTCGTGGTCGACCCCGGGGAACGGGAAACGGGCGAGCGCGGAGGACGGCGTGACTATGAGGCGACCTGGAAAAGAGGAATACAGCATGTACATGGAGCACGAGTACCAAGACGACGAGTCGGCCGTTTACCCGGACCGCAATGTCGAAGTCGCGACCTCGACGGAGAGAAGTAATCGAGGAGAGACCGTGATGCAAGGGATGGAGATTGCGTTGGATTCGACGACCGATGGAAACTCTACGAAGAATCACGAGACAAACGACGCTGATTACAACTTCGGGTATCAGCATGGTGTTAACGGGACCACGAAGAAGAGCTACGACGATATTATATCCGAGGTGGAGCCGGAGGCGCGGGCAGAGATCTTCGAGTTGTTCGCGTCCGGATCGGCCGGCAAGCGGCTGGAGAGGCTTCTGAAGTCCAGGAACATGAGTCTGGAGGAGCTGATCGCGCTGAGACAGAGGGGATCGAGCAAGGTCCATCTGGCCGACGTGTCACGGATCAAGGTGCCGAAGATCGCTGACGTAAACGGCGAGAAGAAAAGTGCTGGCGACGGAAGAGCGATCGGCTATGATAAGAGAATGAACGGCTATCTGACGGAGTCCTACGAGAATCTGCATAGATCTGTAATGTCCAGTCCGGCGAGCTTCGTCCAACCGAAGGAAATTACTACCGCGAAATCGTTCTCTAACGCGACGACGGCCTCCAAGATCGAGGATGGAAGTGTTCTCGACGCGAGTCAGGAGATCGCTGGACGACGCCAGGAGCAAATCGTCGACTTGTTAACGACCTTCGGCTCGCTGCCGTTTGCGAAGGACATTCAGCGGAAGTTCGCCGGCGAGTTTAACAGAGAGGAGAGAAGAAACATGATGGTCGGGGATGGCAAGGACCTTGACGTCGCGGTTGTGAGTCATCGGGAAACTGTGGGAGCTAATAAGACCGCGAACACGATTCAGTCCGGCTTCGTGAAGGAGATCGTGAAACAGGAACCGAGTTCAATCGACATCAGAACGATCTACAGCGAGACGAACGTCTTCAACGACGACGAGGAGAAGAGCGAGAAGGGGAGAGCATTGTCGAAGATAAGGCCGAGTATAATTGCCAGCGGAGCGATTCTTGGCGTGACCATTGTCGTTTTCCTTGCCATATTCATCGCGTGCCGGATCAAACAGAAGCAGAAGTACCGATACAGGAACACCTTCTCCAGAGCCGTGTTCCAAGGCCCCATGCTGGCCGCGAGGAAACTCTCGAACTCGAGCAGCCTGAGCACCGTCATGGTCAACGTGATCGCCACCTCGACGACGAAGAGGCCGGAGAAACACGATGCCGTGGAACGTGCCAGAGAAATGGATACTAAAAGCGACATCGACAATGACTCCTTGGATGCCAACGACAGTTGGGAAACCATTCCTGATTACATGAAATGATAACTTACCGGAAGCTTGACAATTACCAGTATTTTTTTCGTTCTAGCGTTAAATTCAATCTTGCATGTGTACAGAAAAGCCTGACCATGCGCAAAGTGAAAGGCAGATTTATCGGTCTCAGTCAGTTTCTCATTTAGAGCTACAAGCAACTGTTTCAAACGGATGCGATTTGTACATACGATTGTATAGAGTTTCTAATCGAGTTTTATCCTTAAAGCTTAATATAATTTAGAATGTTAGGATTAGTATAAATATTCTTACATAGGATATCATCTTAGATTATACGGTATCGGAAGCGTTTTCTGATACTTCAAACTCCATTCTTTCAAACTTATATATATATATATATATATAATACAATGAAATAAAGTATTTATTTATATCCAGATGAATCTGGGGAATCGTCATCTTACGATCTAAATAAAGAGAATTATTTTTACTACTTACCAGTATCTTTCGTATGTAAAAACATCCCTGAGTATAGCAGACACAGCGTTATTGTTACTTTGAAATACTTTACTAAAATAGGAATACTGTCTTGCAATATTTCTACATTGCTTCAAGGCAGCCTCTACGAAAGAAAAAACGATCGTAAATACAATCAGCTTGAATTTGGCTTTAATTTAATTTTTCAAGCAGACGCATACCTAATGTAGGGCTGCCTTTAAGTTCGATCATCTCGGCAGCTGTCATATATAGCACAGTGGTGTAACTTGTTGGAAGGATTTCCAAATAAGGTTTCCATTTAGAGCTCTCTTTATGTCTTTCGATCAGAAGCGCGATTGCCAAAGCCACCTGTGGCATATGCTGTATCAATGGATCATTTTGGAGACAAGCTAACTCCGGCGCCACGTTGTGTATACTGAAGATAAGTTCCCTCGGTATTCTTAAAATCAACTCATTTTCCAGGAAGTTGCGTTCCGCTTTCAATCCTAAATCATATCCTGGAAATTCAGCCACGCTTGCTCCATCGATGCTAGCCCCATTCTCTTTGAGCCAATTCATAAATTGTCCGATGCCATTGGACCGCTTCAATGACTCTGTCTTCATCTCCTCCAACCTTTTAACCTTCTCCAAAACTGATGATATTTCTATATAGTTGTCCCATAGCTGTGTCACGTAAGCTGAATTACTGCTAACTGATTTAAAATACAATAAAATGAAATTATCTTTCACATTTATTTTGATAAATTCATTTCAAAAGATAGTTTTATAATTTTTCAAATAAATAATACACGAAAGATTTACTGGACATCTTAAAAGAACTAAGTTAAATAAATTACAGATGTCCTGTACTTAAAATTTTTATAAAATTAGTTCAAACTAATATTAAAAGAGAATTATTTACTGTTCAGTGCTTGTTGTACAGTTTCTGCTCATATTTTATTCAACATTTTTTTACCGTTTTTGGAGCACCGTGATACGAGCAGAGGAATGCAATTAAATAACGCGTGGTACTAAAAAATATATTTAAAAATACTCACGATGAAACAACTTTTCACACAAGGCATTTAATTCGTTCCTTTTCGGTGAAGATAATTGCCTTTGACTTGGAACGTGTTTACTTTTGGATGATGCGTGAGATTTTCTTCTGCCCATGTTTGTACTATCTCACGGCACTTTCGTGACTTCTTCTCACATTTAGATGCATTATAATGTGTGACGCGCGCCTGCGACCAGCAAGAATAAACACTTCACCGAAACGAAAATAGAACGTTTGACGCTCTGCGCTTTCTGCGTCTCGACCGACATAACCTCGAAACGACAGAAGTGGAGCTACCTTCCTTCCCTGTATACTATTGACTCTACTGCACTTTATTGATTTTCAATTTCTATCAGGGGTCACCTACTTTCGCAATTACCCTAAACCCCCTCGTCAAAGTCATTTTTCAACAATGTTTTCATCGGAGAGTTTGGGACAAATTCATGCGTTCATAATGCATTGACAAGCAAATTTGAAATTTTATCAATTGCATTGACGCAACAGAGGATAATATTTATTCGATGATTTGAGGTCAATATTGGCGTAACATAAGATAACATTTAAAAAATATATACAAGTTTATATAGGTATATCTACAAATTTAATAATCTCCCGTATCACACTTTTTACATTTCTTGAAAATTACTTTCTGTGTGCTTTAAGAATTAAATGTACAAACGTTTAATGAAACAAGTGTTTCTTTTGTTGAAGAACTATATTATACAAAGTAATAAACAAATGGTTGATATATTTTAATATTTTTTTTTTTTAGAATAGATTTGTATTGCCTTTATGATTT